CAGCAATTTCATTGGCGGAGAAAAGGTATATCTTATGATACAGAAGCTGTGCTAAACGGTATTAACGTTATTGACAATATAACATATATGTATTAAGTAGAATTTGTTTTAATTAGCATACAATCACGTGGTGAGGAACAATCATGAATACAACAATGATGATAATTGTTCGTTTCAACAATATCCGAATAGCTTATATGTATGTTAAATTAATCAGTCAATCAATCAACAAATAAATATAGTATCAATCAATCTTGCCGTCATCATTTGCTTGCCGAATTTGCATTCTTTTTATAGTCCACGTTACCCAAGCGCATCCCATCAAAGCAAAAAATATCGACCACCGTTCAACAAATTTTAAATGGTCTAACTGTCCGACAGGTATCTTAACAACTTCGCTAGGCCAAATGTTCCGATGAAGAAATTCTTTTGGGGGGAGAATATATTTAAACTCGGTAGTTGACGAAAATAGAAGAGATAACGGAAGTGGTGTTGGTGCAAATAATGGAGCTAATAGTTTAATAAATACAAAATTATTATAATTGGCTCTGAAACAAATATTAGCTACTGTAAAATAAATAGTTTTAATAAAACCTCGTCCGTTATCACATGCATATACAATTAAAGGCCACGGAGCCGAAGCAACAACATGACTTCTTTGCGAACTTTCAGAGTTTACTGGTTGATATCGCATACGAAATGGCAAACTGAACTCAAATCTATCATCCTTCTGTTCTACAGGATGTCCTTTGGCTAAAACCACACTACCCCATTTTAATGAGGTAACTCCAACAGGATTTTCTAAATCTGTTTCTCCAAAAACTTGTACATTATCAGAAAAAAGCTCATCAATTTGGTAGGTATCTACTAAAAAAGAATTAGGAAATAGATGAAGGATATAAAATTCACAATTGGGTTGGGAGGCGGGCAAAGTTACCGATGTCTTGAATGACTGATGAAAGCCTTGAACCGGTGTGATGCTCGAATTGAAATAAGACAAATTTGATGAAAAAACCCGAGGTAAGACGGTTATCATCGTTGGAACTAAGTCAATCAGCAAATAAGAAATTGTGTGTGTTAAAATCGAGCATAATCTTATAATTACAAAAAGACTTACGTACCTGGATTATTATCATTTTCATCTATTATAATCCTTTCTCCAATAAATTTCTCAGAATCAAGTTGTGGTCCAAACACTCCCAACTCCACTTTATCTTGTTCATTTTCTTTAATAATATATATATCTTGATTTCTACAATTCCATACCATCCTCAATTCAGTGATAATTTGATTTGTCTTTTCGTCAAACCTCAAATCAAAGTCTAAAATTGAAGGTCTGTTGTATTCTTTAAAGTATACATTCTTTCCTAATATAGAAGTTTGTGTAGGATAGAGTGGAAGAGAAGAATGTAGATATATATGTCCATCCGGAAGCAACGTCGAATGTGTAATATCTAAGTTATGCTTTATAATCGTATATATGATATATAAGTTTTCTAAGAATTCAACATCCATGCCAATTGTTCATATTTATATAAAGTACCAACCATTTTCTGTAGAGATTGTCCACTATCACAAATAATACTGCCAAATAATGCGTCGAGATATTTACATATAATTACAAATTCTGCCTTTTCATAATCTAGCCTATAAACATCGTATTACTAAATTTATCTATTACTAAATAGAACGTGAATTTAAATCAATTAAATAATTAATTTCAAATTATACCTTTGAGAAAAAGTTTCATTGTCAAAAGATATTCCAACATGAGTACCAGAAGTTGGCGCAATATTAAAAGGGTTTGATAGGCCTTGGCTTCCAGACGCGATCTGAACACGTACTTTCCAATCTTTATTCCAAACCGGAAGAGTCCGGTAGCTTGCCTAGTGTGTAAGATTTAAAGGTACACGTTGAACAAAAAGAAAAGAAAAAAAAAAGGCGAAAATGTTAAATTTTGACAAAGCAACTAATACCACCTTAAAAAGATCTTCGAGTGGAGTCAAGACTTTCCATTCTCGAACACCAGTAAAATTCTTCACGCGAATTTTTCTCGGTGCCAAACTCTGAATAGGTTCTTCTGTAAGCGAAGATAATACATCTTTATCAAAAAAAAAGGTATGACGGTGCCTTGAATATGCTGAAACAGTATATATAGAAAATGATAACGCAAATATAACGAAAAATTGAAGTAAATTGGAATACATCAGCAGTTTCTTATAGCGTGTTTTTTGAAAAGATTTATAATTATGTGGTACGCACGTACACTTAAAAAGTCATATGATCTACATATGAAAAGATAGGCTTCTGGGTTAATATATTGTTAAATGAGATTCTACATTAAGTTTTTATAGGTGCCGCCAAGAGAAGCTGACAATAACTTGTTACATTAACCAACTAAAAATTAGAGTTGTCTATTATCATATCGGCTGATTTTGATAAGGAAAACCAGGTTTGAGTGCGTCAATTACAGAACTCTCTTTAAACCGAACAGCAGGTTCTTATATGTAAAAATATTTAAAAGTTCAGTTTGCAAAGAGTTATTATGTTGCTAATCCGAACTTAATATAAATTTTACAAATGTTCTGAAGCTTTATGTTCAGAGTTTATTAAGTGTTCAGTTTATAGCATAGTGGAAGTTCGTTTTGATTGACTATTAATATACCCCGGACAAAGCGTCGATCATACCTCGGATAAAATGCCCGTAACATATCTCTGATTGGCCGATAAATCTAAACGTTAAATAATATTAATAACGAATAAGGGGTTTCAAAATTAAAATCAGAGAAACCCATATAGGCGGATTTGACTCCGATCACAAAAAATGTGATTATTGCAAAATCAATGCTAATTGGTTGATTTATTTAACACAATAGTAAATATAGGATTTTGCAAAAATAAACTTATATCTTTTTTTTTAAATATAATACACTTTGAATTTTTATATTTATATTCAACAAGATCCTGGGTTCATAGATTCAAAATTCTTTTTTTAAAATCCAAAATTCCTACTAGTGACAATGCCAGTGGGTAGATAATATAAAAACATAGATCCATGTTTAATACGTAGTGAATATAGTCTTAAAAAAAGGTTCTGTATATTAATACCAAATCTTTTGTCCAAAGCTATACAAAGCCTGGCTGCTCTAAATTTGAAGATTGAGCTTAATTTAAATGATTACTTTGTTATAAACATTATACAGAGTTAGTAGTATTTGATAAAAATTCAAGTCCAAATAAAAAACAAAAATATGAACTAAATTTAATATACAAAGTTAACAAAAAATATACAAATAATAAAAATTCTAATAAACAATTTAATAAAAATTATTATCAAAGTGGTATAAATATTTCTAAAGATAAAAAAGAGAAATTTGAATAGTACTTAAAATTTTCTGTAAGTAGAAATTCTTATAAACAATTAAGTATTGGAAATTGTTACTAAAATAGTATAGATGTTTTTAAAGATAAAAAAAAAGTATTTGAGTAATACTTGAAATCTGCTAAAGGCAAAAATTCTAGTAGATAATTAAATATTAGAAATTGCTA